CCTGTAGGGACACACCCTAAAAGCACATAGCAAGCCAGTGAGAGCCAAAACACCCCTATGTTGGGGTAGGGTTTCCCTGTCCTATTTTGTCAGGAGCTAGGGTTTCACTACGCACGCAGCGGTTTCAAACAACCTATAATCGAGTAAGCAACCTGTCCTAATTTGGAATGGTCACTATGGATTCCGATATGCACTAGGTCGAATGGTGAAAAATGGTGCCCGGTAAAACCGGGGTTTGTGTTCCCGTTGTGGTAGAGCCTGCAACCGGTCAGCCTTATGGCACACTTCGCAAAGCGAGCCTCTGGCAAACCGTTCAAGAATAGCATACGAAAAACACAGTGTCCAAGGCGCACCAATGCAAATGCAATGCAAAGAAACACATAAGTGTAGTCAAAACAAGATATCATGAGTTCGAGTCGAGTTCTCTAAATCCCCAGCAGAGTCGCCAGAAACTGTAGATGTGCCCTTGGGCCTCACTACAGTTCGGACTCAATTTGTGTCACGGTCTTGTATCTAATCTCACAGAGTGCAATGCAAGACCAATGAAATCATCAAAGAGTCCAAATCCGGCAAATCGTTTTTGAAAATAGATTTTTTTGAAAGAAGTGCCAAACATGACTGCTATGCCAGATACAGAGTCGTCACCTAAATATTTATTTTGGAAAAATTTAGGAAACCCTGACTCGTTGCCTAAGGCCACGTGTCCGTCATCACCAAAGTTGCCTCGGCTCAGGAACTTGGGTACGATTGGGGAAGGTCACTTCGTGAGCACCCTCGCTCGCCCGATCAAAGATCGGCCTCTACTAACTATGATATCGAGCTTTGAAAACATTATGCGTTCCTATTCCGGTTATTAGCCTAGATTTACTATGTGATGCGCACAACATACATGTATAGACTGGGTCGCCTGAATTGGAATAAAACATTTCATGTTTGTTTATTTTGAAAATGGTTTGATGGTGCTACTCGCAAGTAGGCTAAAATGTGGATTTGCCACCCTCAGGTGGGCTTAGAAAAATATGATTTTGCCACTATCTAGTGGGCTTTAAAACTCATAATTAATGAATTATTCCAATTTAAATAACCCAACCTTCACCCACAGGCATTCAGGCAGGTATATCATATAAGCACATAGCCTCATGGTAAGCATGCTATCATGGCAGTCACTCACACGCATACAAGGATGCTAAAGCATAAAACTTACCGAGTACTCCAAGCCAAAACAGAAGCTATGTTAGAAATAAATGCATGGTCCTAACTATACAGTAATGCCTAATGTAACACATGCAAAATGCAACTAAGATAGGCTCGACTATTCTAAGATGGCATATGAAATGCTACAGCTAACAAGTATTCAACTCGGAATTGAAATACAATGCAGTTAGTATGATGCGCCGAGCCCGGTGCATGCTAGACAGATGAATGAATGCAAACATGCTATCATACTGTATGCTAATTGAAACATGCCCTAATCTAACCATCATAAGCTGGTAAATAAAAGGGAGAAAGACGTGGGGTTGGAAGACATACATCACACGCACGCACACTTATTACAACATTGCCCTCGCTCAGAGGGTCCGAATAAATAATATACAGTCCGAAATGAATAGTAAAATATTACAGAACCCTAATTAATTAATAAATTAACTAGGAAAGCGATAAATTAGCATGTAAGCCTATGGACTGCCTCAGCTCTGTTCCGAATGGTGGAATGATGCATGAAAGCTTGACGCAAAAATCCATTGCGATGCCCCGATTCGCCTCTGTTTGCAATTAATCCTGGAATGCTGTGCAAGGCTCTGGAAGGTTGATTTTTGGTTTGCTGCAATAGAGAGCAACAAAGGGGCACGGCAAAGTATTTCACATATGTATGCATGACTACTCTTCGGGGAGTGTAGTCCTCGATCCTCATGCCACCAATCACGCATATCAATGCATGATGGCCGAGGAGTCGAATTGCACGACTCAATATGAAATGAATGCACATATAAACACAACAAGACCTAAACTCCATCATGGGTAATCCGGAGTGTCGGCGACCGGGAATTGAGACACGTTCCGTCACTCCGGAGTACAAACGTCCTCGTTTCCCGTGCTCGGGCTAACTCCTATCCCAAACACAATGCAAATGAGATGGCAATACACAATGCGCTAACATGCAACCTAGCATACGCAATGCTATGAAATGGCATACACAATGCTCGATGTAACATGGCATACACAATGCTCTAACATGCAACCTAACATACGCAATGCTATGAATTGAAAAGGCATACACAGTGCATAATGGACTTACACCAAGATGAGTGGACCTCAGCCACACTCACATCAGTGGCCCTTAGACGAAAATGAGACAACCGAAATGCGTGCATACGTGCACGCATATCGAGGACCGAACCTAAGGCATAAAATACCACTTTACCAAAGCATGGCAAGGATGAAGCATGGCATTCAAACATGTAATTTTCAGCACTGAAACATAATGCTAAATGGTCTGGAATCATGCAAACATGGCACCCGATGCATGGAGTAAGCCCCGAAACTCAAAACTAGGCACATGTATTGACTTGTAGCTATACAAAGCATGCATTATTTGACCATGAAGCACAAAGACAGAGCCAAGGTAGTCCCAAAACATGAACATTTCTAGTTCAAAGCATGACCAAAAGATGCTAGCATGATGGACTAAAATAGCATGCAACATTGGCTAGCAAGCATGGTTTACATGGCATGTATATGAAGCACATGAGAACTCATCAAACCAGCCAAAAACAGTGAATAAAACATGCCAAAATATGCCCAAATAATCACTGAAATGCAGCCAATGCATGCAAAAACAAGGGGCTTCTTTGGAGGGCCTTGCAAGGGGTTGTTAAGCACATATAAGATAGACACTTAGCATGACCAAATCAACTCTGGAAATGAGTTATGACAGCCCTAAAACTCACTAAATTGGCCCTGAAATCAATCTAGGAAACATGCCAAGAAAGGCCCCCTCAAAAGGTCTTGAATGGAATTGTTCTACACATGCACTATAGACATAAAATATGATCAAAAGGGCCCCAGATAGACCTAAGGCAGACCTTAAAACCCACAAAATTGAGCCCAAAAAGTGACTTCAATGCATGCAAAATAGAGCCCCTTTGAAAGGTCCAAAAGACCCCCAGACAACACAAGGAAAGAGGGGGCCACCCCCCTCTAATTTTGGCCCTCAAAAATGCATCAAAACCACTGAAAATCTACTGGATTTCAGTGGCTAAGAGGCCAAACCATGGCCAATGCAAGTGCTCTAATGCATAGCCTTAATCATGAAGAGATGAAGCATGCATAGGGGGAAGATGACCCCAAACAGAAATAGGACCTTAAAAAAACTTAAAGAGGAGCTCAAAACAAGACTTTTTCCAGTTTATAAAAAACCTCGAAAATGCTCAAAAGTAAGGCTAAAATAGGATGCAAAAATAGCCCTAAAAGAGAGATAGAGGATAAGGGGAAGTAAATGACCTCAAATAGCAAAGTCCCCTTAAACAAAGTTGAAGAGGGGATCAAAATAAGACACTTTACAGTTTATAGAAAATCTCTAAAGTGCTCACAAATAGGACCAAGATATGATGCAAGATAGGCCTACAAAGAGGGGCAAAGCATGCAAGGGTGTAGGAGGCCTCAAACAGAAAAGTGTTCTGAAACAAACATGAAGAAGAGCTCAAAATAAGACTATCTTCAGTTTATACCATGGCTCGAAAATGCTTGCAAATGGAGCTAAGGCATGAGGCAAAATAATGCAAAAAATGAGGGAAATGAGGACTTACCCTTGAAGAGCCGACCTCCAGCAGCTTTTGGACTAAGTTGATGAGCTTCCAACCTCTATAAATGGCTTCCAAGGTGTTGGAATGGATGATGGAGGTGTGGTGCTAAGGGTTGTAGTGTAAATGAACCAAGGAAGTTAGGGTTTTGGAGCTTGGAATAGCAGCAATGGAGGTGGGAGGTTATGTGCCTTGGCCAAAAATGTCTAACCAGCTGATATGAAGAGGAGGCCAAAGCTTCTCTTGAAAGCTTCAAAGATCCTCCATACACGTGTATGGAGAATGCACCAAATGATCTCCAGCTGACACAGCTGGATTACACTCAAAGAGGGGAAAAGCAATAAGTAGGCCGGCCAGTTCAAGTGGTCGGTCGGCCACTCCCCCTGGTCAGCCGACCAGGGGTCAAAAGGTTCAAGCAAAATTGCTGGTCGGCCTACCCAGAAAGGTGGCCTCCCAGATGAGTAGATCACAATGGTGGTATAAAAAGCCAGAAAATGTGGCTCAAAAGTAGGAAAAACCAGCTTTCTATCAGAAAAATCGGCTTTTGGAGAGAGAAAATGAGAAAACTGGTTTTTCAAGGGAATAGGTGGCCGGCCACCATCCTATCACCTCCCTAACAATGAAAATAGGGTCTCTACCAAAAACGACCAAAACGGATGCAAAACGAAGGTTTGGGGGCCAAAACGGGCGGTTCGGGGCCCCGAAAACAGGCTGTTAGGCACCGGAAGCGGCGTATGACCACGAAGGTGGTCTCCCGGGCCACAGTGTTCCTTAAAGGGAGGAAATAAGATGTGTACCAAAAACCGGAGCAAACGGAGGTAGTTAAGCGGTCCCGAACCGAGGCACACGGCCGACGGCTCCGAAAACCGAAAACCGGGCTCCAAACGGGAAAAATGGCCTACGACCACGAAACGTAGCCTACGGCCACTAAGAGATGGTCTACGAGACCTCTCCCTCCCTTTGGGAAGAGAAAACGGAGAAAACAGAACCCGATTCGCAAACTGAGGCAAAGCACAAAAGGGCCCCGAAGTCCGGAGGCAAGGCTCGCGGCCGAGACTCTGAAACCTCAAAACGAGCACAATATGCAACATCATTGAGCGCTCAACTGGTGACGTCTGAGTCTAAAGGTCGGTCAAAAATGGGGTATCTACACATATTAGTCCATAATTTCCAAGCTAATGGGCAAAACAACGTAAGATGCTAAACTGACTCCTCTGTTTTACAAAGCAAGCACAATGCATTTGATTCCTCATTTAACACTCCAAAACTCATTAAGACAGCTACAGTTTTAAGCCTAGCTCTCCATGCTAACCACCCACAAAACTTTACCTTGGGTGGAGCAACATTGTTCCATAATTCCTTAGTAACACTGACAGTAGGACTTTTTAATGACATACACCACTTCCATGCCACTGCTACTGTAAATGATCCTATTGGATTGTCCACCCATTTACACGAATCCTCAGTCTCCATGGAAAGACTAGGTGCTTCCCTTAGCAAATCATACAACCGTGGGACCTCCTCTTCCTCCCATGCTAACAATGATCTTTTGAACAATAAATTCCAATCATTTGATTAACCCCTCCTCTGATAAATCTGTTGCACAGTGCCATATTTCTCCTCTGATAAGCTATATAATCTAGGAATTCCTCATTCAAGCATATATTATTTAACCGCTTGTCATCCCAAAATTGAATTCTATCCACATCCCTACTGTTAATTTTAGATTAGATAGATAAAAGTCAACTAGAGCAGGGTTATATGTAACAAGTTGAAGGATATCACCCTAAATCCTGGACACTGCAACATTATCTGGATTACTTGGAACCCACCTGCCCCCAACCACACCATACTTACTACACACAATATTTTCCCACAGAGGTGTATCCTCTTTCCCAAATCTCCACCACCATTGAGTAGAAGGCAGTCATTAACTTCTCTTAGATTTCTAACCCCCAATCCCCCTTGATCAATGTTTGTTGATACCTCATTCCAATTTACCATGTTAAATTTCTTCTTTGTTTCAGAATCATCCCACAGAAAAGCTGCTTGAATCCTGTCTAACTATTTAGCCACACCCACAGGTAGTTTAAAAATTGATAGGAAATATAAAGGTAAACTTGAAAGAACTGCCTTCAGTAATGTTAATCTACCAGCAAATGAGAGCATCTTCCTTTTCCATGAAGCCAATTTGTTCTTTACTTTTTCGATCACTGGATTCCAAGTGCTCTTTCTTCTAGGATTTACCCCAAGAGGCATGCCCATATAAGTAATAGGAAGTTTTTGGCTATGGCGGTGTAGAATTGAGACAAAATCATTAATTTCCTCATTTTTAACACCAACCCCACACACCACACTCTTGTGGAAATTAATTTTTAAACCAGACATTAATTCAAAACACCTTAAAATTCTTTTTATATTGACCGATTACACCCTATAAGCTTAATAAAAAATAATAGTATCATCTGCAAATTGCAAATGAGAAACCTTCAACTCATTGGGCCCAACAGTGGCACCTTTTAAAAAACCTAACTCCTTTGCCCTTTCAATCAGTATATTCAATCCTTCAACAACAATGTTGAACAAGAATGGTGATAACGGGTCTCCCTGCCTAAGCTCTTTTTGAGGTGTAAATTCAGCCGATGGAGATCCATTAACCAGAACAAATATCTTGGCTGAAGATGTGCATGTTTTGATCCTCCTCACCCACTTTTCCCCAAAACCAAAATTCTTCATCATTGAAAAGAGAAACTCCCAATTTATTGAATCATAAGCTTTTTGAAAGTCTAATTTTAGAATGATTACTTTCCTTTTAGATAATTTCAACCAATCCACCACTTCATTAGCAATCAATACTCCATCTAGAATGAATCTCCCCCCCTCCAAAATGCAGTTTGGACTTCACTAACAACTGCTGGCATTACCTTCTTTTAATCTTCTAGACAACACTTTATCTAGAACTTTATAAACTGAATGAACTAAGCTTATTGATCTGTAATCCCCTAAACCACTTAAGTTCTCTTTCTTTGGTATCAAAGTCATAAATGAACAATTTAGGCCTGAGACCACTTCTCATTTTCATGGAACTCATTCATGAATTGTAGAAACTCGTTCTTCATTATCTTCCAGCACTTTTGAATGCAGGCCATATTAAATCCATCTGGCCTTGGAGTCTTATTACCATCACAGTCTTGTATAGTTGTCCAAACCTCTTGCTCTGTAAATGTTGCTTCCAAACTTTCCTTTTGTACAAAAGTAATGGATAAAAATGGGCTAGAGAGTTTAGGCCTAGAGCACCACTGCTCAATAAATACTCTTTCAAAATGATTACAGACTGACTGCTTTACTCTATTTGGATCCACTAACCTCTCCACTTCCTTCATAACTGAATCCAACATATTTTTCCTTTGCCTAGAGCTTGCCATCAAATGAAAAAAGCTTGTATTCTTATCACCACATTTAACCCACACCATTCTAGATTTTTTATGCCATAAACTCTCTTTTCTCTTACTAAAATTCCACACTTGACTTCTTACTTCCTTCTTTTTAGTTAGTTCAGCTTCTGATAAATTCCTTGTTCCAGCTACCAAATCAAGCTCATGTTGTTCCTCATCTGCCTCCTTTAACTGAATATCCACACTACCAAAAACCTCTGATTTCCACCTTCTAAGATTGGCCCAAAGATTAGCTAACTTTCTCTTAAGTCCGATGCTAGCCCATCTTTGTTCAACTACACCATCCCATGACTTCTTCACTTCTACCTTGAACTTTGGATGAAGTAACCACGCATTAAGAAACCTAAATGGTTTTGGATCCTAATTTCTATCATCTTCCTTTAATAATACTGGGCAATGATCCGAAATACTTCTTGGGAGTCCCCATTGCTTAAATGAGTACTCCTCTAGCCACCTACTTTCCAATAGAAACCTATCTATCTTGCTTCATCTCTCATCATCTTGAGTATTACACTAAGTAAATCTTCTCCCCATCATAGGCAAATCCACTAAATTTAACTAATCTATTAACCCATTAAAATCATTCATGTATCTCTATCTTCTTGAGCATCCATTTCTTTCACTAATGTACCTAATTTCATTAAAGTCTCTTCACATACACCAAGGTTTAGTATAAAGCGTTTTCAATCTACCTAGTAAATCCCATAACTGCCTCCTCTTAACTACATCATTCGAAGCATAAATATTAATTATAGTACATTCAAAGGCCACTCCAATAGTACTTGAGAGCAGAATAAAATGCCTTGAACTGCAACACTCCTTAAGATTAAAGCTATCTGGATTCCAAATGCATAGCAAACCTTATATACTGCCTTCCGCATTAACCCCCATGAACTCCATTCTACTCCTCTTTGTTTCTTACAATAACACTACATCCAACCCTTCCTCTTTTAACATACTTTTTATCTTCTTCCTTCTCTTTTCTGGTCTTCTTAGACTTCTAACATTCCATGTCATTATCTTCATAGTAAACCATATAGTGCACCTGAACCCCTGCATATATTCCTTAGGCTTCAACAGCCCTTCCACTACCTTTAATCCTTTCCAAATCCTTCATTTCCATCTGAAGAGTTTTCTCTATAGCTTCATCTTCTTTTCCTTCAAAATTTATGCCCAATGATTTCCTCATCTGGACTGTTGCCCTAGCTTCCATAATCAATCTTCTACTGCTTCTACTCAACTTACTATTAATAGATAGTGAATTTGATATAGTCGTCGTTGTAACTCGAAAAATAGCACCTCTATTAAAACTTTTTGGAACCACTCTTCCCTTTTGTAATAACAGAGTCTTACCTTTCAGCACAGCTCCTCTATCTCTCCCCTTATTTCCCTTCTTTCTACTGTTAACCTTTTTTTAATGTAAGGTTTTAACGAGGCATATTCTTAGTATGTAGTTATTCAATGGAGAGTGTTGTGAAATATTTGGATAACCATCAAAAGAGATGCAATTGAAATTTTAATGAATTTTTGGGCCAAAGTGTAAATAGGAGAAAGTTTTACCATGTAGGTAGTGTGGTATACTATGTGGTAAATCATATGGTGTAATGAATAATGAGAGTTTTATTACCTATAAATAGGTGAATTTACATGGTAATGATGAGATAAAAAAAAAAATCTTTATTTTCTCTTTCATTGTGGCTCTTTCTTCTTTATTTTTTTTAATTTTATAACAGCGATGATTAATAAATGTTTTTTTTTTTATTTGACTAATGTTGTGTTTAGATATGTTAGAATTGTAAATATAAAAGTGGGGTGGGGTGGGGGAAGGAGGGGGGGAGATTCACATGTTAAAACTTAATTATCACATAAATTTATCTTATTATATGATCGTACACCAACCCAACAGTAGAGAACGTGGCGAATTACACTAATAGTCCATATAGATTAGGATTCATGTCACTTTGGTCTCTGATTTTTCAATTGTGACATATTTGACCTTGAATTTTGAATCTTGTTTCAAATAAAGACAATTGAAGATACTATATCGCTCAATTTTAAGGACAAAGTCGGTAATTTGATAAAATATAAACTAATTTAACAAAAATAAATGTCAAAAAAATATTTTTAAATTTTAAAAAATTATTTCTACCCACCAAAGATAAAATTGTGTAAAATTGATAAATTGTTTACACATTTATTTATTTTTTTACGAAATTAATTTTTATTATGTGTTTGAATGATGATCATATAATGAGTGGTTATTAAATTTTTAATGTGTAATCGATTTATTTAATATATGAAATATTTTTAGTTTAGATTTTTTTGATTTAATGAATTAATTTAATAATGATATTAAAATTGTCACCATATTTGACTTTTGGAAAAATAGAAACTAATTTAATGAAAATAAAAACAACCATCCATTACATGATTATCATCTAAATCCATAATAAAAATTAATTTGATAAAATAAATAAATAAATAAATGTGCAAAAGATTTATCAATTTTACATAATTTTATTTTTGGTAGGTAAAAATAATTTAAAAAATTTTAAAAATATTTTTTTGACATTTATTTTTATCAAATTAGTTTACATTTTATTAAATTGACGACTTTGCCTTTGAAATTGAGTAATAGTTTATTCAATTGTCCTTATTTAGAACAATATTCAAAATTCATAGTCAAATGTGTCATAATTAAAAAATCAGAGACCAAAATGATCCAAGTCACGAATTATAGAGACCTTTAATGTAATTCGCCTAGAGAATATTCAAGTTTCAATATTTTCTATTGCAATTACATTTCTCTATAGTCTACTTTTACATAACACACACACACATATATCTATATATATATATATATAGAAGCACATAAAAAATCATTTATTTTGGTGATACACAATAAAAATGACTTCATCATTGTGGAAAATGGGATTAAAATGTTCGTTAACATGCTAAGGTAACATCATTTTTTGCCAACTAGTCCAGCTCTGTTTAGTTGACTTTTTAAATTTTTTTTTTTTTGAGAAAATTTCAAAAACTAATTTGGTGAAAAATAAAAAAAAAACACTCATTATTTTTATATAATTTTCCTTTCTTAGAAAGAAATAATTTTTTAAAATTAAAAAGAATAAAAATAAAATAAGTTCTGAAAACTTCTTCAAACTCTTTTTGGAATTGGGTAAAATTGGGCTAGACCAGTTACCCCAAGATGGCCCATATTGAGTGTTGCAAGTTTGCAATTTGGGTTGTTTTGAAAAATTGGTTAGAAATTGATTTTTTTGATTTTTTTTTTAAATGTGTAAAAAAAATAGAGAAATGATGTAATCCTAAAAAGTCAAAAAGTAAAAAAAGTAACTTTTAATTAACTTGCCAAAATACGCCAACGGTGTCCAACTCAAGCCAACCCAAATAATTTTAACATTAATTTAATTTAAAATTTTTGTATGTAATCTATCGTTTCATTTTTAGCTTATATCTGGTATGTGTTGTATTAATTTGTTGTGTCAAAAAAAAAAAATCAACTTTAATTAAAATTTTCAAGTATATGTGAAATTAAATTTCTTTTTAATAAGTTACATTTCATGAAATTAGATGAAATTATGGAAACGCAACCAATAATTATTGGAAATAGAGAGACAGGTGGGAGGGAATTCAAAAATCTTTAAGTGCTCATAGGATGGCATTATCTTTAAGTCCCCACTTATTCGCAGCATTATTTGATAGTCTCAAACCATTATGTAATATTATTTATATGGTGTTTAAATATATTATATAGTTAAAAAATTTATGATGGGATATGTTGATTCACCTTTCTAGTTAGAGATGAAATAAATAATGGTCCATTTAAAATGTGTTGTATTACAGTTTTTTATTGACCAAAAATATCACGCAAAGAAAAAATAAAAATATCAAAAATTATCCTTATTGCTAATTCGCAATGTATCATATTTAGAATAATCATAGTTCATATATTTTATTTTTGAAATATTTTTTCTTGATGTGTTACACTGTTGTTAAAATAATAACAATAAAGCCTCAAACAAGAGAGTAGCTAAATCCAAGATGACATGTATACCATCTTCATGACAAAACCCCTCTTTTGTTGACCAGCCTCTCTCAGTAGTCAATATGTTTAGAAATACAGAAATTAAATACAGAATCTTAATAGTCATTATATCTAGAAATACAGAAGTGAAACATGGAATTGACGCACAAAATAAATGAACCGAGAGGATTTTTGAGAAGTGGGCCTTTGGCTCAGCAGAATGTAGCTCAATTGGTAGAAGTTCACTCCTACAATTGGGTCACAAATCTTATCCATTCATCTACTTTTTTGTATCTAATTCTATGTTGCACTTTGCGTACTCCTAACATTGTTGATCAGTAGTACTTGTCACCATTTTCTGATCACTGATCTCCCTCGTAATCACCGGAATACAACTTGAGCTCCTCGCAATACCACCTTTGTTCCTCAAACCACCTAGAAAATCTCTAGGGCTAACAGACTTAGCCCTACCACCACTACCCTCCAACCTTGAGCTCTTCTTCAAAAGCTCTCTCATGGCCTCAGCTTGAAACAACACGGGATGAGTCCTACCAATCCTATTAAACCTCACACACTCACTCATATGCTCATTCAATGCCTCTCCTCTATTCCCTCCATTTTTCTCCATCTCTTCCTTCACAGCCTCAGCACACAACCCACAAATCATCTTCCCCGAGAACTTGCCTCGCACACAGCTAATGTATTCGGTAGTGCACTCTTCAGACATGCCACAGCACTCGCACTTGGCATCTTCAACCTCTGAAATAGGCTGGAGCATTGGACTGGCATTAGATTCTTTGCTTAGTTCGAGTGAGATGTCGGAGATTGTTCTTTGGAGGCCTTCCATGGAAAGCCTCAGAGGAGGTTTTTGGATGATGTTAGTGGTGTCGGCGAAAGAAGCGAAGAGGGTTTCTCTGTTTGGTGCCATGACAAGAAAAACAATATGAAGCCCGTCTTCAAAGAGATGAGAAAGAGTTGGTTGTAGAAATTAGGGTTTCTAGGGTATAGGAGGTAGAAGTTAGGATTTTAAGAGGAATGGAAATGTAGTGTAGTAAAAGTTGTGGAATGTGAAGATCATATGATCTAAGGAGATAGGTCGGTATATATGCCCTATCTTATAATTTATAGTGTGATTCTATCTTCTTTAGAAACCTGAAAGCTAGGACTATGTGGAAACTCTCATGTCAACATTCAATGTGTGTGTGTGTGTGAGAGAGAGAGACAGAGAGAGAAGAGATCCTGATTTACCACGATTTTTCATGAACATACGGATACAAAGCCTTTTGTGGATTTTTTTTTTTGTTGAGAATTATTATATATTCAAACATAATGTTTGTATAAATTTTTTATATAGAATAATGAAGTATTTGTGATTATTTGATTTTAAATTAAAACGCCAATTATCGTTCAACTATTATGGCACATAATTTGAAAAAGGGTAATTCTATACAAATAATATTTTTTACCATAAATTTCATTACATTTTATAGTCCTTTCATTTTAAGTCTAAAACACTTATCATTATATAAATATTTCATTTACTAATTAGTAATTATTTTTCTTTCCAAAATCAATAATACTAAACTTACCACATTTATATATACGATACTATATTTACCATCTTATTTGTCAATACAATATTATTGTGTATATCTCCAATATAATGCTAATAATTTGTCAGGAACATCTAATGATAAGAGATCAATTTAATGGTTATTGTAACATTACTCTTCAAAAATTCTACTATCATATCATTTTAAAATAAATTTTTTGTATAAAAAATTAATTCACAGATCATTTTCCAATGAAGTTATAAAATATCTTATATTTAGGTGAGTGTTGGAATGGTTAGTTAAGGTCGTTGAGTTTGATGGGAAAAGTTGGAAGGTAAGAGATATTTGTTACTCCAAAAGTGTAGATACAGACGGTTTAGTTATTTGTCTCTTTCTGCAAATTATGTAGTCATATACACTCGTTATTATCTCAACCACCATAACTTTTTTTTTTCTTTTCAAAGACGAAAAAAATTCACCTTAGTCAATTGAAAAAATAGTTGGTGTATTAAATTTGTTCACTTAGTTTTATAAGTTGGGTTAGACTACCCAAATATATCAAAATAAAATTAATAGAAAAATGCTACACAAATATCTCTTTTAGGAGTTGGGAGGCTTTTCAATTCACATATGTGGATTAGACTGTCCAGCTTGCTTGTGAAGCCTATCACGAGCCCAATTATGATAATCTAATATATTCATTTGGTATGTCTTTACGTGTAAATTGTTTATAAAAAAAAATAAATCATCAATTCAATAGTGAGTAATGTTATACTTATCACCTTCAATATATCACCTCATGTGTTAACACAATATTTGACATAAATATAATTAGTGGGATCCATTACACCAATGATGAGTTAACACATGAGGTGGTAATTGTAGCCATATTTTTTCTTCAAAAAAATGAACAGAAAAAATAATTTTAAAAACAAACCATCTATTATTTTTTTAAACAAATGTAACAAAATAATATGACTACAATTACAGGATTCATTTGATTTTTTTCATAAACGATTTATACATAGAGACTTAAAAAATTAACAATTCGAATTATAGAAATCAGGCCCACGGTAGCCCCATAGACCCAACTAAACAAACTGGATTATTGTTTTTAATTATTAAAATCCATAAAATTTATCACTTATTTATAATTATTTTTCAAAACTTATACGGAGCTAAAATTTCTCCAATGTATATTGCCGGTTGAGTACCATGGTGGTTCACGAGAAGGTCCAACTCAACCATACACGTCGGTTTGGTTAGGTCTCCACTTTTTTTTATTGAAGAACATGACACGTGATAGAAAATGAATCTTTCTTAAAGTTTTTTATTAGTATTAGATTATTTTTGTTCCTTCAGGATACATCAAAAGAACTCCGACTTCACGAGCAACCAAACAAGAGAGAGAGAGAGAGAGGGTCACAGGTTTCATGGAGGAAGAAAGCAAAAAAAAAAAAAAAAAAGAAAAAAAAAAGAGGGTTCTCTAACTTTCTCCATCTTTTGATTGTATTTGTCAAAATGGAGTGACTGAGTGGTCCTTTTTTTTTTTTATTTTAATGGAAAAAGTTAAAACACTTTTTAACTTTTTTTTAGAAGTAATTAAATGTTTGATGAAGTTATAATGAACGTAAACTGTAGCCATTGATGAATCATGATCATTTTGTGAATTATATAGTGTGAACAAACAAAACCTCTCTGTTTGTCATGTGATAAACACAACAAAAGAAGCAATGAAATACTATCTTAGTGTAACCACTTTATTGTATGGCTCTTCATGCATGCATTCCCAATTTCCACCTAATATTATCATTATATTCAATATTTATTTGAATTTGTGAGATTTAATAGAAATGTTACATGTATATAAAATTTTATAATTTCTCTTTAAATGGCGACATAACTTCAGCAGACCACCAAAATACTCATTTTAGTGATATGATTTATTCATTTTTTATGCCCTTATATGTATACCATTCATTAGATCAACAACATAGTCATGATGACCAAATTGAACATGTTCAGTCTAACTGAGAAGTTGAAATTTGAAAATATATAAAAATATGTATAAAAAACTCAATATGTTGTCCATTGTGAATATTGGGGGTGCTCACAGTTCAAGTACAACTGAAGAATTTTCAGTCCGTTATTCGTTTGCTGGATTAACAGATTGGAAAAAATCAATTCACATCAATCTGTCAGATTGGCGAATGCAGATTGGCGGATGGATACGAATCGGTTTGGCAATTTAAACTTTTACAAATTTTGAACATAATACAATAATTTGCCAACATTTTTTTGGGATAACAATCCAACTTAACATAACCAAAAAATTATCAAGTAAATTTTCAAATACCAATAATAAATACATATAAGAAAACCGTGCATTATCGAAACTATTTCGTTATTTTTTTTATTCAAAAACTATTTAATTTGATTTTTTTTTTTAAAATTGACAAAAGTAAGCCTTATATTTTTCATATAAAAATACCAAATATCAACACTTGTCATTTGATAAAATGATTTTTAAATTGAAAACACAATAGAATATCTAAACTCTTTTTCAATTGAAAACACAAACAAAATAGCTACACAAATTGAAAACCAAAGTCTTACAAATTACTAAAGGTGCTCGTAGTTTGGCGGTTCGGTTGCTATCAAAGGAACCTCAAATCCACCATCTATCCAAAACAATGAGATTGGAAAAAATCAAGCCGCAATCATCCGCTCGTTATCACGCATCCGTCCAAAATGTGGCGGATCGGTTCAATTCGGTCAATTTGAGCAGATCAAAATATCTGCTGAGCACCCCTAGTTAATACACATGGATTGAATTTGTGTCGCATATTAATTTAATTTTCTTTGTATATTTCTTTACACTTAGGTCTCGTTTGGGAACTAAGTATTTTAGTTAAAAATTCAAAAGTCACTATAAATTGTCACGTCACTCTCTACTTTTCTGTACATCTTTTCATAAAAAATTACTAAAATAATATATTTTCAAGTAGACTACGTAAACGTATGGTTTGAAATTTTCCATAAATGGGCTGGGCCGTTCCCTCCCCCCCGGGGCCCCAATATCAATCCGCCAGTGGCATCTATTTTAAATCCATAAATGGGCTGGGCCATCCCTCGCGGTTAAAATTTTTCTATTAAAACTCAAGAAGGGGTCCATTTGTGATTTTTTTTTTAATTTTATTTTCCAAGATATCAATTAACAATTACATGGTCCATTTTTTTTTTTTTTTTTGATCAGCAAAATAAGAGTTTTATTGATGAAAAGAAGCACCATACATGCAAAAAGACATCAACAAAACCTGGAACAGAAAGAGAATTGGTGAGAGACCAATCCAAACCAAAACAGAGGTAACTACAGAAAAATACAGGACAAGCAATGAGGTTTCATCAAACAACACACCAACTTATCTCCAATACACCTGAAAAACACACAGACAGACAACTCTTACTCAGCAAACACCTCTAACTCCACTATATAATGCACAACAGCAACTCTGAGCCAGGCACCTCGAAAGTAAACATTTCTGGAGCAGCTCTGAACAACCCAATGCAGCTTCATCAGAACAACATCTCTGAAGCATCTCTGAACAACCCAATGCAAACCAAAGCAAACTTCTTTGGAGCAGAGCAATACCCCTCTACAACAAAACATACACAGCTCTTGAACTCCTTGACACAGATTACCACCTCCCATGTTTCACCCAAACTCCAAACTGTAGAAATTCACTAACACTCCAAACTGCAAACTTTTTATGAGACCTATAGATCTTATGAGACCTATGCTTACCTCAGCTTCATCAATCCCTTTTATATTCCATGATTGAATCTTCATGTAGACAAATTTGCACTCTTAGTTCCCTGCCAGCAGTAGCCTAGTTGGCATCCCCAACCCAAGCTCTAGCCTTCTCCAGATCGATAGCTTCCAGCTGCTTTAATTTGCTTAAAACCTCCTCATCCTTCCCTTCAAAATCAATGCCAAGAGCTTTACCCAAAGCCAAGGTAGCTTCCGGCTCAGACAAAGCGAAACTCCCTCTACTGGACTTGCTTGCCATTGAGAGTGAAATGGCGCTTTATGTACATAAATTCTATTTGTAAATCACTTTTCAAACACAAAATATGATAAGCGAATTCTACTATAAAAAATATGATAGCTTCTGAATGTATTGAATTTGGTAAGAGTTGGGTCCCTTTGAATGTATTGAATTTGGTAAGAGTTGGCCCCTCGGTTTGCTTAGGTTGGGGATGATCCAAAGCTCCTACACTTAGGATCATCGGAGCAGTATGTAAGATTGGGCTGCAAATATTTAAAGGAACCAGCCCAGCAGTGAGAGAAGCTATCCTGCTTGGGCCGACAACCAAGTTATCCAAGATTGGAGCCGTATCTGATCCATTACATTCATGGGCCGAATTCAGGTCCACTATTAGATTAATCCCTTGCCCCATGTTATCAGGCCCACACAGAGTTTTAATCGATCCAGAATTTTGAATTTCAATTTCAGTCCTCCCGCCCTCATCAACGGCTCTCATCTTGGGACTCATCAGCAGTCTTGCAGAGCTCTCCTGACACACGTAGCCGTTTGCTTCTGACATGCCTTCCTGCAGATCTGATTCAGCCACCATCGAAGCGTCTCTGAGCTGGTTATCTTCCGCCATGATGTTGCTGCTATCATGTGCTTCCATTGTTACATGATCATCCCCATCCTCAAACTTACTCCCTCTATCTGCAAACTGGGTGCCTACTTTTACAAGATTACTATTTCGGGTTCCACCGGAGAACTCTTCAGATGAATTGCTGAGACCAGGCACCTTCAAATCTTTTATGATAATGATTTGTTCCTCGCACACCCTAACTGGGTAAAGAACACCCTTGCATTCTAAACTGAGGGTTTGATTAATGGGAGCCATAAAGTTTGTTGCAATCTGCACTTTTCCATATTGAAAATGATTTAAATTGCGAGTATCCTCATCCACAGCAGTCACAATACCCCACATCTTACCAATGTTGATGAAAGTGTTACAACTCCAAAGATTTAGTGGAACTCCATAACAACTAAGCCAAACAAGCCGTTCTTGGGTAATAGACATCCCATGTTTCCATTCGAGGACTGAATCACACCATTCATTTAGCCAGCTCTTCATTAACAGGAGTTTGTCCTTCATAATCTCCTGAGATTGAAATGTTAACACCAAATCTCTTCCACCACCGGCTCTTACTTGAACTTCCTCAAGATCTCTTCTTTCTAATTCTTTCTTGAAGTCTTCCACAATGAACAGTGGCTTTAACCTGGCTATGACACTCTCATATAACCAGCCATTCCCTTCCTCAGAGGCTTTGATAATGCAGGAGGTGTTAGGTCCTGCTGCCTTGCCACTCACCACCTCCGCGAAAGATCTCTTGCCTTGGTATCCCACGTGAGTTCTGTTAGGCTCCGCTGCAAACTTTCTAGGCTGCGTTGATGGTCCAGCCATATGTTTCGAACCATATTCCTTACCGTAATCTGCCATTTTAACCTTTAGTGCTTTATCATTGCACCAGAGCCCATTGGCTTTTTGAATAGCCATATCCGCAGCAACAGAACAAGTATACCTGACAAAACCAAACCGGGATCTTGTCATTTTCCTCCTATTGTTCGGAATGAAAGTATCAACCACAACACCATAGTTGGAAAATATTGAATACAGCCCTATAGCTCGCATGGTTTCGGGTAGATTGTCCACAAAAACAGAGTGGATAGACGCGTTCATCCTACTATTCCAAACTCCTCTTCCGCCATGTCTTCGAACCACCGGTTGCCATCCTCCATCACTTGGCTTTGCCATTTCAAAACCAAATGCTATATATACAATTACATGGTCCCTATCCATGCTACGCTCAGATTTTTGTGCCTTGGTCAATCTGTTATTGCATTTTTCCAAATTTGGCTTAAAACTTAAAACTTATCTTATTCGGTAAAAAGTTGGGGGCTTTTACCACGTTTAGCCATAAAAAGAAAAATTAATTTTGTTTTATTTGGTTGCTAAAATGCTTCAATTTTTTAATCATAAATTTTTAATAATTAATTCTAATTCAGAAAATCAAATTTTAACCCTTTACCAAAAGCGTGGGAAAAACTTATATATGTTTCATTGGCATGATAATATTTTTCTTAAAATTAGAAGAGTATACAACCAATGCAATCCACAACTTTCTTGATAATATTTTTTTCTTTCCTTTCTATCTTCTTCCCCCCCTTTCACTTTTTTGGCACTTTCAAAAAGTGTCACTGTTGAAAACTACATTCATCTATGTGTGCATGAACATGTTCCTTTTTCCCTCACCCAAATTTATATTGTTTTATTTTATTTTATTTGCAGTACGTGGCAAGAATATTATATTTTATTTCTAATCAAAAGAAATAAAAGAGAAAAAAAAAAAAAAAGACCAGGATTGCAATCATACAATAAATCAGATTAAGGATTCCTACTATGACTTTAGACACATAATAACAATCGTTTATTTTATAAAATTTAATAAAAAAATTATTTATATATAAAATTAACTTGAACGCACAAAATAAACTATCCTAATTGAAAAAAGTTAGGGATCATTCATCTATGTGTGCATGAACATGTTCCTTTTTCCCTCACCCAATTCATTAGATATAGATGCAACTAGTTTACAAATTTATATTGTTTTTATTTTTATTTTATTTGCAGTGCGTGGCAATAATATTATATTTTATTTCTAAAAAAAAAAAAAGGCCAGGATTGCAACCGTACAATAAATCAGATTAAAGATTCCTACTATGACTTTACGCAAATAATAAGAATTGTTTATTTTATAAAATTTAATAAAAAACTTATTTATATATAAAATTAACTGGAACGCACAAAATAAATTATTCTAATTGAAAAAAATTAGGAATCATGAAAATGATCATGAAAGATTTATAATTCTTACATTACTTTGATTAGTGAGTGATATTTTATTTTAAGTATAATTGAATAATCACAAAACTTTCATGATTACTTTTATAAAAAAGATTTTTCTTGATATATAATGTTATTGATCATAATTATCAAATGAACCTCACACAGGACCGCAACACAGCGCTTGTCCGATATGAACCCAAAAGTCATCTTCATCATTAATCAACTTTAATTAGGCCCTGTCAATGCCTCCACATATGCAACATTTTCCACTACTTTTGTCTTCTTTAATTTTGTTTGTCACCTTTCTTCACAAAGTAAGTGTCACTATTGAAAATTACATGCACCGGCAATTTTTTTTAGTCCATTGATTTGCTCCGTTTGCTACGAGTTAAAATAGTTATTTTTTAATTAAATAGGTTGAAAAAATGAAAGCTTCTTTGTCTTTAATTAAAAAACTAAACAAAAAACAACTTTTTCATTGACCAAAAAACGTATTTTTTAATAATTCCAAACTTATTGATTTTTTTAGATTATAAAATACTAAATAAACAATTACCAACCTTCACCACAACTATGCAGTTTATAGTTTCATTTAGCATTAGTTAATATAATTAACTTTTTTGTATTAGAACTTTTTAAATCTCGTTTGGTTTAAATTTTTGATTTTTTTTTTTATTTTTGTGAGAGAAAAAATGTAATGATCATGGGTTAAATGTGATATTTTATCTTGTTTGCTTATTTAGCCCGGTAATACTTGGTGGCCCAAAAATTCATGACTTGAATGACTCAAAACGACGTCATTTTAAGAATAAAACGACATCGTTTTGATATATTCAAGTCATTCGAACCACACAAATTCAGGCCACCAAACATTTTTCTATTTAACCTATTTTATCATTTTATATTTTTTTAACCCCAAACTAATAGCCAAATCAAGACTAAATGATAAATTATGTGTGGCAATCCCAATAAAATACCTACTCCACAGCATGAGAAATTCCAAATTTGAGTCTTAAGATCAATGCTTTCTCATTACTCAATTGTGTATTTGCTTTTGCTTGTGCTTGTGGTCCAATCTCTACCTACAATAAATTCATATATATCAAGTAATAATGTTATACAACTATAAATTTTGACGGAAATTTCCTATAAAATGATCTGTTGTTTTGTGATTTCTTCAATTCAAAACAAAGTGTAGTTGACTCAAAATTTAAAAATTAGTTATCATATTATTTTGAATGATTTTTCTCTATAAAACTTTTGTTTGTGTATTATTTTTCTTTATTTAGTCAAAATATTTAAAAAAAATGTTTTTTTTCAATTTTAATAAGTCAACACTTTGGCCACGTTTTTCAATTAAAAGAAATATTTATTTATTTCTTTTAGCTAAAATAAATAAATTTGCACTGTCAAATTTTGGATATTTTTTGTTGTTTTTTTGTTTCAAATTCATAATTTTTCTAAACTCCATAAAAAATACCTATTTTAAGAAGTATGTTAAAAGTTAAATTTTTAGTTTTTTAATTTTTTTACTTTTTAAATAATGTAAAAAATATGACTCAAAAAATCAAAAAAATAGATTTTGACCCTTATCAAAATAAGCAAAAAGAACAAGAAAAAATAATCGTTGCCGTGATCTGGAGCTCGATCGTACACATCAACGTTGACCAGCTCAGAAAGTTGACTCCAAGCCTACTAGTCGTTCCTCACTCCACCAATAACATAAAGCCACGTCACCGCAAGTAGATCTAATCGTATTACCAATGTTACAGCTAATATCACTCTTTTGTCCTGTTGTCACTCTCATAAATAGCCCCAACAAAACAAACGCGTTTCTCTCTCTCGCTCTCTCTCTCTCTCTACATTTTTTCTCTCCTCTCCTCTCCTCTCCAGCTCCTCCTGTCTCCGCCCATGGCAGCGGTGGAGATGGAAGAGCTAACCTCCGGCGCCAGCGGCCGCATCATCCCGGTCTTCAAGAACCTCCGGCGGTCCGTTTTTTCCTACGACTCTTTCCGGCGTTCTCTCATTTTCATCCAATCGATCTTCCTCTGGTTTCTTCTCCTCCTTCCCCGCCAACGCCTCTCCTCCGCCTCTCAGCCTCCCTCTCCGTCGTCTTCCTGGCCGTCACTGAAGCGGAGGTTCGCAATCAGGAGAGAGGAAGAGGATACTCTGCGGCGTCGAGCCCTTGCGGAGGGTTTGCAGATGGTGGCTGAAACCGACGACTGGCCCAGCCGGTGCCAATGGAGTACGTCTATATTCTTCGGAGTGAAACGCAACGCTTTGTTTTGCCGGTCGTGGTTCCCGGTCACCGGTCAACTAAAGTAAGTTTCCTTGAAATTTTCTGATTTTATGTATTTAGCAAGGTTTTGGATAACTGATCATTGTGAAAGTTAAACTTTACTTGTTTCGTTTTGCTTCTTTTGTGGTTTGTATGGTTGCTGAGAAAGTAAAGGAAATGTTTTTTTTTTTTTTTGCTTGTGTTGAGTTTGTGTTTTCCTGATTCTGTGATTCTGTGGGTTAATACGAATCACAATGGTTTCGCTTATCATAGTTTTTCTAGTTAACGTGAAGATATAAAAAGTCTTGAGATGCTTATCTAAATTTTTGATTGCTCTCTATCAAAGGCATTTGACTTTGACTTTCCATGATATTTCATCTTAATTTTAATTGGGGGATATAACAATTCAGTATATGTTTGTAAAAATAATATTTTCAGAAATGAGGCTGGAGAGAGGATTGTAGATTTTGCGTTGCTTCTGACTTGGTGGTGGTGGTTAATATTATGTATAAGAAGAGGGAGGAGCATTTGATAACCTTTAAGGGTGGGTCAGGTAAGAGTCAAATAGATTACTTCTTAATAAGAAAGGTGGACCGTTTAAAATGCAATGATTGTAAGGTGATTCTTGAGAGAGCCTAACCTATAGAATTTTGGTACTAGATTTATGTTTTAGAGGGCAACACTAGGTTAGAAAGGATGGTGGGCGTCATAGGACGAGATGGTGGGACCTAAAAGGAGAAAAACTAAAAATATTTAAGAATAGAATGGATAAGAAAAGTCCTTGCGACTTGAAAGATGATGCCAATACTATGTGAAACTCGATGGCCAATTGTATGAGGAGAATCTCAAGGGAACTGCTTGGAGAGTCGAAAGGAGCGGGACCTAGCTCTAGGAAAACTTGGTGGTAGAGGGAAGAGGTTCAAGCGGTAGTTAAGGTAAAAAAAGAGTATTTTAACAAGTGACAGAATGATAGAACTGAGGAAAGCCTTAAGAGCTATAGATTGGTTAATAAGGAGGCCAAGAAAGTAGTGAGAGAGACTAAGTTTAAAGCTTATGATGACATATACACTAGACTAGATAGTAAGAAGAGAGAAAATGGGATATACAAACTTGTTCAGATAAAATAGAGGAAAACAAATAGACTTAAATCAGGTTAAGTGCATCAAGATTGAGGACTCTAAGGTGTTGGTGAAGGATGAAGAAATTAAGGAGAGATGGAAGAACTATTTTGAGAAGTTGTTAAATGAGGAACATGTAGGTCAAAAGGGGAAGAAGTAGGCAGTAATAAGGAAAACCAGAACTATAGGTTCTATCGTAGGATTAGGGACTTTGAAGTGGAGTTTGTACATAAGAAAATGAAATTGAATAAGGCTTTAGGACCTGATGATATACCTATTGAAGTGTGGAAATGTTTGGGTAAGAAGGGGATTGTGCCACTATTTAAGAATAAAGGAGATGTCCAACTACAAAGGAATCAAGTTAATGTGTCACACAATGAAAGTGTGTGAGAGAATGATGGAACATCGATTGCGAGATATAACAGAGGTGTCAGAGAATCAATTTGGATTTATGCTCGGTAGGTCAACAATGGAAGCAATCTATTTTTTGAGGAGAGTAATAGAAAAATATAAAGAAAAGAAAAGAGACAT